GGGTTATTATATATAAATTCACCTAATATTTATTGGCTATACTCATTAGAAGCCTCTCGTAATGCAATTTTCTATCCAGTTTTGATATTTTTGATGCTAGAATGATCAATTTTAGGTCAAATTTAATGTACTATAGCTTGTTTTGAAGCCAGAGATTAGTTCTGTAAATTCAATTATGAGATATCAGTATATTATTATGCCCAGTTTGCCAGGAAGGGCAAAACTTTGGGAGGAGAACAATGTTTTGTCCATCTGTTCTTCTAAATCGAATATCTCAAGAATGATGAGAGATACAGACTTGAAACATTACAGGTATATGTAAAAACAGTAGCTGAACAATTGTTATTAAGTATCAAGAGGTTGTTAACTTAATAAAATTTTCCGTACTTTGAGAAAAACATGAAAATTATTGTGCTGAAATTTTGTGTACAGATGATAAGCAAAAAGAGTTTTTTTTTAGTCATTGCAAAAGCATTTGTTTAAAATATATATTTTTAAAATAGATAAATATTTCGGGTAGACTAGTCATTAGAAGGTTATACAAAGAATCTACATATCTCTGCAAATTTATTGGCTATTTACGCACAAGTATGATTCCCAGTGGTAATAAATAGTAAACTTCTATTAGAATGATTATTAAGTAATAATTCTTATAATAATTATAATTAAGCTTATACTTACCAACTAATAATTTAGCAAAAGCATTTATTAAAATATATACATATTATTAGAATAATAATCAAGTAGTTTATTTTTCATATGTTAAAACTGGTTAAAACCGGTTTTAATATATGAAAATAAATCTGTGTGGAATTTTGCTAAAGATTACTGCTCTATTGTATATTTATAGCAAATTAATGTGACTTTTGATCAATTTTGCAGATCGCTGCATGCCTGATTGTTCGATTGCAATCGATTGTATGTAATCGTGTATGATTGTATGTAATTGTTTGATTTATTTGTAAATGTATAGCAAAAATTATATAAAAAATACATTTTTTTTATTTTTGATAAAATTTATGGATTACATTATAGATACTTGTTACCAGTGCGCGAAATGTCTTTATTGCAAAAAAGATTCTTTAAAAACATATTACCTACAACACGAAATCGTACAAAATTAGTTCTATATGCCTTTATAATTCATTATAATACAAAATTTAATGATAAACAAATTGAGAACCTAAAAGATTCAAAAAAAAATATAATTATAATACAGAGTTCACAAAAGATTTCAAATTTTCATTTTGCTCCGCGTGTAATAGTAAATGGTATCACATTGGTAAAACTAAATCGACAAAATCAAAGTCAACAAAATCAAAGTCAACAAAATCAAAGTTGACTAAATCTATAAGTTCTACTGCTACTGCTTCTGAATATACATCTTTTGAAGTTAATTGTATTACCAATGTGCCTGAGACTGACCAACTTATTGATAATTATGCAACTTTTAACACTGATAAGTATAATACCAATAAGAATAAGCATATTACCGACATATCCGAGATTGACGAGCTTGATAATTATACTGTTTTTGATACTGATATGCCAGAATACGATGAATTACAAGATTTTTTAAATGAAGAGATGGAAGAATCTGATTTGGAGAACGATAATTTTATAAGACAGTTAGATGAGTTAGATAACAATCATAATAAAAGCAATAAATTTTCGCTTAAACTATGCATTAAAAATCAAGATAATATCACATTACCTGCCAAACAATTAAATATTTCAGCAGATTCTTGCGACGAATTCTATTATCTAATTCTTTCAGATATTCAATTTCAACTAAATAACACTGCTATAACTCAAAACAATTATGTATTATCATATAAAGTAATGAAAGAAACTGAGGCGGGAACTCAAATTATTAATGAGAGTGATTTTAAAAGTTTTATTGACGATTATAATCAGGCTATAAATAAAAAAAAAGAGGTGTTTATTAATATTCAGATGCAAAATAATTCTTCAAATAGTAATGCAAAAAAACAATTATATAGATTGGTATATAATTTTATCATTATTATAATTTTTTTTTTTTACAGACCAATATTTTATTAATTCATTATTTTATTATTTTAGAGATCTGAAGAACCCAATAGTGATGACAATTTAAATAAGAAAAAGCCACGATTATTTAGTAAAAAACCTAAAGAATCTTACCTTAACGATGATAACATGGCATCTACTATTTCTCAACTTCGGGAAAAATATTTTTGTGCTAATTGCGAAGGTTCCTGTTGGGTTACTAAAGCCGGTCATATTAAACTAACGGGCATGCATTATACTACTTGGGCTCGAGCAATCGTAAGAATTATTTTTAATATTTATTTATTTATTATCACAGTTTTGCATATTGATGTAATTTTGATATGCAATCACCTGATTGTTGTTCATTTGTGTGATTGGAACAAATTTAATAAAGATATTGTGCCTCAGACAACAGCAGAGACTGTTAATATTACACATATATTAAAACTAGTGAGGGATTATATCCATCACAATTGAATCCAATATAAATAATTTAATTTGTGATTGATCACAGGAGAGAGAAATTCACTCTGGATCGGGCACTGTCTTTGCTGTTGTCTTGTCTTGGATCACAGCTAACACACCTCAAATATAAACTATCAGGTGAGCTTATCAATTTGTCATCTTAGCTGTGATCTGATGAAAGTATGAATGTTAAATGAATTGAATAAAAGATTTTTTACTTCTTTAATTACTTGTATCTCTTCAGCGTTTTTTTTTATTAATAGTACTCTTTACCTTAAATCACTTTGATGCTTTGCTTAATTCTAGTAACATTCTATATCTTGAATCATGTTCTTTAGCATCACCTTACTTTCAGTAGCATTCTATATCTTGAATCACTTTCTTTATCTTAAATCATTTTCTTCGGCATAGTCTTATTTTCAGTATTTTACCACCAACAGTAAAATTCTTTTACCCATTCTTTTCATTGATTTTCTTTTCCTAAATTTTTGTACACATTCTATTGCAAATTAATACTTTTTCTATGCATGATTTTTTTTTTCTGAATTTTCACGTTTTTACAGCATGTTCTTCTCGTTCAATCTCTAATAATATTTATATATAGTTTTTTTTTTTGTGTCAATTCATTACGTCAGCTGTGATCTGAGGCAAGTGCTAGTCTGGGGTACTACATTTATATTTGATCAAAAAATGCACTTTTACAATCACACAATCGGACAGCTTGTATGGTTATGCATTGATCTATAAATTTAACCAATGCTAGTACAATATGCAAACCACAATAAAAGCCATGCATTTTTATATTAAAATTATTACAAATAGATAAACAGATTAGCGGATATGAACACACCACCCAGTCATGCGATATTTACATCTTCACCTAAAACTAGAGGAATATCTAGCAAATTCAACTTTTATTACAACCATTACAACAACTAGTTTTACAACCACCATTACAATTATCCTCACAAATACTCTCACAAATACCCTCGCAACTTTTTGCGCAAATGCTCTCACAAATGCCTTCGCAAATACCCTTGCAAATGTCCTCGCAAATGCCCTCGCAAATGCCAACAAATTTTTCAAATTTTTCATTACAACCATCAACTAATTTTTTTTCACATTACCCTAATATTCCATTACAAGCATTACCAAATATTTCTTTATATATACCAGCAAATTTCTCTCCACATTTATCACATTCTATCTCTTTGCAACCTTATTTTATACCATTTCTGATTTTGTCTAATTTATCACAAGGATCATTAACGACTTCGTCAAAATATATTCCTGAACTTGAAGAATTTTTGACAAAAATAGACAAAGCTGAAAATGCAAATGGAGAAATTTTAGCATGCTTATCAGAATTTCAAAATCAAGCTATTCAAGTTAAGCGGATATGCAAATTAACTGATAAACA